GACAATTCACGAAGTTACAAGATATTTCCAGAAAGCAGGGACGTGACACTAGTCACGTGACCTCGCTGACGCAACAATATAATAATTTAATATAATATTTTAAAACAAGTAAACTGATAGAAATCAATACATTGACAATAGAAACTATGAATTGTACATGAAATAATACCTTTTATCAGTTATGTTACTGCTAGTGCCAAGCCATTAATTATGAAATAAAGAGCAATACTTTAGATAGAACCAATGCATGTCACACGATTACCCTTTAAAAAAGATTCATAGACATTGATCAATACTATTTCTTAATCACATTACTTTATAGAACCAAGTAAGCAGGTATTTTACATCAAAGAAAATAAACTCTTTAACAACAAATATTTCAGTAAACATTAGGATGATACCCTTTAACAATCATGATGTACAATTCCACTTGATAAAAAAATAACCTTAAAAAAGGCTAGTCAATACATCTCAAAATCACTGACACAAAATACTGTTGCGTCAGCGAGGTCAAGTGACTAATATCACGCCACGACCTTCTAGAAATATCCTGTTCCTTCATGAATGCTCTAGCGTTTACTAGATATGTGTTAGTCTTGTATATATAAGACGGTCACAACGTGACGGGACAATGTGTAATTGAATTGCGGAGAGAGAATATTGTTGAGCACGTGAGATGTTCGTTAAGAATTATAGCGTTTGTTATAGCGCGACTGTTGAAATTAAGTGTATCGCAAAGTTATATTCAGAAAGAATAAATCAGTTTTATTTAAGAAAGGACTCGTATTGGTAATAGTTTTAACGGAAAATTAACTAACGAACGGAGGCGTAACAAATTGGTGTCAGAAAGTGGGACAAAAAAATGGAAACGAGAAGCGGTAAATCAAACTACAACTTAGCAGATTTGATGGCAGCAATACAAGAACAGCAAAAGAAACAAGAAGAACGAGAAGAGAAACAAGAAGAGAAATTACAGCAGTTCTTGGAGGAAAAAGAAAAGAAACAAAAAGAGAGACAACAGCAGCTGCAAGAAAACCTGCAACAGTGGCAGCTCGAACAACAAAATAAACAATAAGAGAGATTATAGCAGTTGTTAGAGGAAAACGAAAAGAAACAAGAAGAACGAGAAAAGAAACAAGAAGAAAGATTACAGCAGTTCTTGGAGGAAAAAGAAAAGAAACAAGAAGAGAGACTACAGCAGTTCTTGGAGGAAAAAGAAAAGAAACAAGAAGAGAAATTAAGCAGTTGTTA